CTTAAGTATTTCCTAAAATTCACATGGAAGCACAAATGGCTTTAAACACCTGGACATATATAGATTTTTCATCTTATATATATATTTATAGATATTTATAACAGTAAAGATATGTTTCTCATTACTACAATATACTTGTTTAACTCCTTTAAGCAGCTGGGAAGGAAAAAAAAAAAAAGAAAAAAACCCAGTTTCACTACAATCACATCTGATATGTGTGTGTCACAAAATACAAACAAAACAAGCCGTGTGTGAGATTCAAGTCAGACCATTCCAGGACAGAACAGCTAAGAGGCAGGCAAAGAGTCTCAGAGGGAGCAGGCCTACATGTCAAATGGTGGTTTTGGGCTCTCCGGGCGGGAGGGACTGGCCTTACCCGGCCGGCTGGAGTTTAAAGACAAGAAAAACAAAGAAAAAAAGGAAGAGGGGAAGGGAAGGAAAAGGGGGAATAGTAAAACAATAGTTAAAATACAGAAAGGAACTGGCATCAGAACAACAGAGGATCCACAACAGAAATTAAGAGCAATAGCACTGAAATAAGGTAACTTAATTCTGAATTGGGCCTGGCTGAAAGCCTGCAACACAGGTGGCTCATTTAGCTCTGGCAGAGTCACAACATCTGAGATGTACAGGGTTGATACATTTTTTAATTCTCCAGTTGATTTTTTTGTTTTTAATACATGTAGCATGAAAAGTAAAAACCAAACCTTAAGAAGATGAGTTGCGATCAACAACAGTCACAAGTTTCCCCAAACACATATCATCCACATGCAAGAAGAAAAGGCTACGGAAGAAGTCACCACAGTACCCAAAAAACACTGAAAGATGTGCTTATTCAAAGCAGAAATATTTTCAACAAAACATTACACAGCAAACTCCCTGAAAACATTTGGCTGTCTGTTTGCAAGGGGGGAGCAGCGTATCTATTCCCCTCTCCCTGCTGGGTTCAGGAAAGTCAGCCAAAGATGCTGATGCAAGACAACTGCTGGCAGGAGCCAGTGCGTCACCAGCAGAATTTCCCCAGCTTTTTTGGGGAGCTGAGTGCGAGCAGGTCCATGTGCTCCCTGCACGCTGAGGTGTGTGCGCTATCTCAGACTTCACTCTAGCAGGACTATGCCGATCCATTGAGTTCCCCCCTTTCTTGATCTCCCTGCCTCACTTTGATATAAGGTTGATTGCACTGTTCCCAACATGAATTTTTGCACCTTAGAAGTCAAACTAGTACACAGGACATGTAATCTGTTCCTAATGGTGTCACATGTTTTGACAGTATTTTTCTTCTAAGTCACACTTTTGTCTTCTTAACTACAAGAAAAGAAAATAGCTACAGATCAGTCCTAGGTGCTACAGCTAACTGATGCAGGCAGGACAGTTATCCAGGCTAGACCAGGCAGATGAAATTACTGGACGGACCGCCACCACTTGGACTTAAGGATGTCCCTGCGGCTGATCTCTC